GAGGGTAGGGGGTAGGGAGGGAGTGAATGCTTGCTGAACAACAGTCAGCAGGACCACAGATCATATCCCAGTCTCATACCTGTGCTTGCACACAAGGGGAACAATGCGCATGCTCAGTGGGGCCTGAGCCTCTCTCCCTGCTCCCTGGGCCATGTACACAGCACACATTCTAATGTGCAGTCATAGAAAAATCACATATAATCATAATTACTAGGTGCATAAGTTTCACCTACCGATCTAATCTTTAAAAAAAATCAACCGATGAGAGTGCAAAAGTCGTGCATTAACATGGTGAGATCTCAGGAACTCAGCATGGAGTGTCATAATTACTAGGTGCATAAGTTTCACCTACCGATCTAATCTTTAAAAAAATCAACCGATGAGAGTGCAAAAGTCATGCATTAACATGGTGAGATCTCAGGAACTCAGCATGGAGTGAAAAAAAAAAAACCTGGGTTGCAAATGATTATGCACATTAGGATACTACGTACATGAATGAATATTAGCTAAATTAATTTTAAGCATATGCAAAACAAGACATGTTAGACGTGTGCTTGAGAAAGGTTAAATGCCAAAGTCAGGGTCATGGTTACTTCTAGGAAAGGAGGCGGGTGGAAGGGTGAGGGAGGAGCCTATCATTTATGTCTGTAATGTTTTATTTCTGAAGCCGCAGTGTGGGTGTGTGGGTGTTTTGTTGTATTATTCTCTATGCTTCTTAAAATAAAACAAGAGATACATGTTTCTGGTGAAACAAATCCCGAATGTCCCAGAGGCTCTTGGATGAAAAGCAAGTCTCCCTCCCACCTCGTCCCCATCTGCCCGCCCCAGAAGCAGTCCGGCTCTTATGCATCTTTTCAGAAAAATCCCATCCGTGTGTGTATATACATATCTCTTCTAACATTAGAAAATGAGGAACTACCAGTAACTCTGATATGTATTCTTTTTTAAAATTTTGATTTATTTATTTTTATTCTACATGTATGTAAGTGCACCTGTGTCATGCAGTGCCATTGGAGGACAGAAGAGGGCGTCAGATCCCCTAGAACTGGAATTAACGGACAGTTGTTAGGTGCTGGGACTCGAACCCAGGTCCCCTGAAAGAGCAACCAGCACTCTTAACTGCTGAGTTATTTCTCCAGTCCCTCTGATACGTATTTTGCGTTAAAAAATTAACTACGGGGGCTGGAGAGATGGCTCAGTGGTTAAGAACACTGACTGTTCTTGCAGAAGACCCGGGTTTGAATCCCAGCACCCACATGGCAGCTAACAACTTTCTGTAACTCTAGTTCCAGGGGCTCCGACAGCGTCTTCTGTCCTCCGCGGGCATTGCATGACACGGGTGCACTTACCTACATGGAGGCATAACACTCATACATATAAAATAAAAAAATAAATACTAAATAAAAAATTATGGTCATGCATGGCTGAGGGATGAGGTAACAGGAGAAATGCATCATTAGGTGATTTTGTCATTGTGCAAACACTAGATTAGAATGCATCCAACTCCCACAAACTGATGTCATGATTTCATCTCTTGGGCCCACTGTTGTTATGTAGCCTGTTGGCCAAAAATGTCATCAAGTAGGACTTGGCTGTCCTTTAAATGTTTTTTTATGTTTGTTTGTTTGTTTATTTATTTATTTATTTATTTATTGCACATGTGGAGGTCAGAGAACAAGTCAGAAGAGTAGGTTCTCTCCTTCCAGCATGTGTCATTCTCAGGTTGTCAGGCTTGGTGGCAAGTGCCTTCACCCACTGAGCCCCTTTGTCAGCCCTTGCCACTTTTTATATGACTGTTTACTCCAGCATTACCACATACACAAGGGGGGAGTTGTTGCAGCTGGATGGCTGTGATGTCAGTAGGTACTAGATATTTTTCAGCTCCATTACAATTTTATGGGACCACCACTGTACCTGTGGTCCAGCCTTGACTAAAGGCAGTCATGCAGTGCGTGAGTGGCACAGAGCCTTAGTGCACATTTAGAATTTCCCAGAGGGAGCTGGGCATGGTGGTGCAGGCTTGAAATCCCAGCACTTTTGAGGCTGAAGCATGCCACCATGAGCTATGTAATGAGACTCT